ATTGCTTCTCCTTTAAGTAATATGTTAAAGAAAAATGCAAAATTTCATTGGTCAGATGCTTGTCAGGAAGCATTCGAAAACATTAAAAATATACTTGCTAATGCTCCTGTTCTCATTGCACCAGACTTTAACAAACAGTTTAAATTAGCTGTAGATGCCAGTGATGTTGGCATTGGTGCAGTTCTTTTTCAAGAAGATGACCACAATGTAGATCATCCTGTCTCTTATTTCTCAAAGAAATTTAACTCTCATCAGAAAAACTATTCCACAGTAGAAAAGGAATGTTTAGGTTTAATTCTTGCTCTCCAACAATTTGATTTTTATGTCAGTTGTTCTTTACATTCAGTACTTGTTTTTACTGATCACAATCCTTTAACATTTTTGAATAAGATGGTCTCCAAAAATCAAAGATTGTTAAGATGGAGCCTATTTTTACAAGAATATAATTTGGACATCAAACATATTAAAGGCAAAGACAATGTCATTGCAGATACCTTGTCCAGAAATTAATTTTCACTTATGTTATTGTTCATAAGCTATTAAGAAGTTTTTGTCTAATATTTTGAGAGTAAGAAATGTACTTTCTTCAATTTTAATGGAAAAAGAATTCCATTTTTGAACAATGAAATTTTTTTCTTTTAAGAGGGGAGGTGTTATAGAGAGCTTGTTTTTCTCGTGCGTGCCCTCTGATTGACCCCGCATGAGACGCTGTGTTCACAAAGGGGTGTGGCTTAGGTCTTTGAAGTGGCTTGTTTACAGTCGGCTTCCAATTACGCATTGGGTAGATTGTTTTCGGGTAATTTCTGGAATATACTCCTTAACCCGAGAGATGTAAACAACACGTCATAAGCCCTTCTCGAAGCATCTTACTCTACATATATATAAGAGATTGACAGGCACGAGGGGACGGAGATTTTTCACATAGATTTTCTTAACATTACGAGGCGTGTTTTATTCTTTGTGTATTTGTGTGCTCCTACTTATATGTGTTTATTCCGCATTATTTATTGGCATCATTATTTCTAATTGTATTAAGTGTGTACCGGTACGACATCTGCCATACTGTAAGTTGAAGATTGTAATTTTATTTTATTTTATTTTGTAATTATCTTTAGACATAATAAATCTTAATTAATTGTAACTAGAAACTGTTTTGGGTCGTATCTTTAATAATTGTTGATTCTATGGTATCGTCCTTTGTTAGGCACTGTTTACATCGAGCCAAATTAAAATTAAAATAGGAGATTAATTTCTCCCAATACAAGTCAGTGCGTAACACCTTTATTATTAAAATTCTGTAGAAAAATCTCGACTCATCAGGAAATGAAACCCTTAATCACACTGCATAACACACACACCCTCTCTCTCTCTCTCTCTCTCTCTCTCCCTCTCTCTCTCTCTCTCTCTCTCTCTCCCTCTCTCTCTCTCTCTCTCTCTCGCTGAGAACATTTCTTAGAAGTTCAGCTTGCTTCCCTTGGAAGTACCAATCAATGCCTTAAGATGAATTCAAAGAAATATCTCGCTAATATCAGTGAAGAACTTGAAATGGAGACAAGTCATTAAAATCTATTCATCAAGTAAATTTTGGAGATTGGCCATCTAAGTCCATTTAATGGACTGAATAGCTTGAAAAGATATAAGCTGGATGGACTCTTTCCAAATTTATATGTCTGCCTCCATATTTTATTAACAATTCCTGCCACTGTCCTCTCGGCAGAGCGCTCATTCATCAAACTTAAGCCGAAAACACCTGGCTGGTCACCATTGCAAGAACGCGACGACGATGTTCAAGGGGAAAATGGACTGGTCCGCTGCTTCAGCATTAAACAGAAATGTGTCCCTCTTGCCCCCATGCAGCAACGAGGCTATGGAAGTGGATAGGCAGTTCCGGCTCATAACAGCAAGGAGACAATACAGGAACTGATCATTCCTGTTCAGAGACTAGAACAAGCTTCCAAAAGGAACTGTTGAGGCGACAACACTTGACACATTTGCGTCTATAGCCTCCTGCCTTCCAAACCCCAGTTCCTGATATCCTCGCTGAGTAGTCCTTGCAAACAATGAAGCATGCTCTTCAAAACCAAGCACAGAGACATCGCGAACCCCCTCTACAAAAATAGGAGCCAGAATGATCAACACATTGATCGTGGGCCCTCAAAATTTAAAAGAAGAAAGCTGATTTTTTTGTTGTTGTAAATCTAAGATCTACTTTGTCACAGAGGCGTCTTGCAGATTTAACAAGACTCAGTATTGAGTCTGATCATGCAAAAACGATTGATTTTGATGATGTAATTCTAAATTTTGCCAGGAAACGGGTCAGAAAAGCACCTTTGTTTAGCAGAATATAAATGACCTTACACCTCAGATATAATAGCTGTTATGGGTCTGTATTTCAATCTATTATTAAATTCATTGCTTATGTACATCGTTTCATTATTCTTTATATACTAATGTGTACTATCTTTTACAGAAGTACATGCCCTATATTTAATATAATTGCAATTATGTTTGAATGTAATTTATAATTAAGACATTATTGATGTATATGTGTCCAGGTGTAGGTTCATACATTGTTCAGCATTTTATAACCTCTCGGTGGCCTTCACAACACCCATTACATTCCTGGAGGGAGAAGAAATTGTTACGATTATATCAATTGTAAATCACCATCAGCCTAGGGCTCCCCAAACTGTAACAAGGCCATTGATCTTATGGAACTCAAACCAGACTCTCCGGTAGCACCCTAACCTGGCGCCACACTCACCTGGTGGTGCCCTTATCTGGCGACAAACTTACCTGGTGGTGCCCTTATCTGGCGACACACTTACCTGGGTGTGCCCTTATCTGACGACACACTTACCTGGTGGATCTCTTATCTGGCGACAAACTTACCTGGTGGTGCCCTTATCTGGCGACACACTTACCTGGGTGCCCTTATCTGGCGACACACTTACCTGGTGGAGCCCTCACCTGGTGACACACTTACCTAGTGGTACCCTTATCTCGCGACAAACTTACCTGGTGGTGCTCTTATCTGGCGACACACTTACCTGGTGGTGCCCTTATCTGGCGACACACTTACCTGGTGGTGCCCTTATCTGGTGAAACATTTACCTGGTGGAGCCCTTATCTGGCGACACACTTACCTAGTGGCACCCTTACCTGGCGGCGCCCTTACCTAGTGACACACTTACCCGGTGGCACCCTTACCTGGCGGTGCCCTTACCTGGTGACATACTTACCTGGCTGCGCCAATACCTGGTTACACACTTACCTTGTGGTGCCTTTACCTGGTGACACACTTACCTGGTGACACACTTACCTGTGAAACGCTCACTTGTTGACACACTTACCTGGTGACACACTTATTTGGTGGTGCCCTTACGTGGTGACACACTTACTTGGTGGCGCCCTTACGTGGCGACACACTTACCTGGTTGCGCACTTATATGGTGACACACCTGGTGGCTGCCTGTTCTCTTGTAATACTCCTTGTTTATGTAATCGGAGATCAGTTATGTCACAGACTAGTAGAATCCCTTGCGCGAGCACTGTCAAAGTTGAATAATAATAATATAATAATAAGTGGTCTTATATAGCGCGGTACCCCAGCCTAGGGCTGGACTCACCGCGCTGTACATAAATAGCAAAGAGGCATAATCATAATATTAAAATAAAATACATAAATGAAATAAAAACAACATATAAGCAAAACAACACCATAGGTATATTCATCCACCCACACCAGACATTTTTACAAGGAAACCCATGTACGTTTATCGGTTTATAGGATATACATAAATGAAATAAAAACAACATATAAGCAAAACAACACCATAGGTATATTCATCCACCCACACCAGACATTTTTACAAGGAAACCCATGTACGTTTATCGGTTTATAGGAGGAGAATCAGTCAGAGTAGTATAGTTTAAATAGATGTGTTATGAGTGCAGTTTTGAAGGCCTGTGTGGTTGTTATATTGCGGATGTGTAGTGGCAAAGAATTCCATTGTTTGGGGGCGCAGAAAGAGAAAGATCGTTCACCATATAATTTAGTGCGTGTCTTGGGAACGGACAGAATACGCGAGTCTGCGGAGGAGCGAAGTTGTCGAAGGGGTGAATAGACAGAAAGAAGTTCAGTTAGATAGGAAGGGCAGGAATCCGAGAAAAAGTTGTGACAGAGAAGAGACAGCTTGTAGTCAATGCGTGCCTGTATAGGGAGCCAATGTAGTGAGTGGAGTAGTGGAGTGACGTGATCGCGTTTTTTTTGCCTTAAGAACAAGCCTAGCAGCAGAGTGGTATACCCCGGGAGGGTGTCACCTGATGCGGTCTACATTACTAATAACGCTACTGATTTGGACCGAAAACGTCGGGCCTAAAATGTTTCCCTCTTCTACGCTATTATACTATTGATATCAATGAAATGGGTCATCCAAAAATGACATCAGGCTGTTAAACTGATTTTTACACACCCCCCCCCCACTAAAAAAATAATCGCAAATTTGTATCACAAATTACACACTTTTATCGCACATCGTCACAAATTCGTGCGCCCCCTTCCCCCAAATTTTCTTCTTTGTTTAGTTCGACGCGTGACGTCGTTTTTGGATGGCCCAAATATCCTTTTTTTTTCATATGGATACTGTTCCCCTCCCAAGGAAAAAAAACAACATGTTCACGAGCATCAGTAGCCGATACGTTAATTTTTGTTAACTCTGTTCATGTCTTTTTGAACTTTATGTATCTTTGTGCTTATACTTATGCTATTTACAGTATTTACATTTAATTTTTTTTAATGAGTGAGTGATTACAGCGACGACAAATGTCATGCTTTATCTAATAGTTCTACAATATTTTTAAAAACCTCTATAAACAGATTTTAAGGTCACAAATTTAGCAACGTTTTTGTTTATCAAAACACCCCTTTGTGAATATTATCCTGTTCGGCTTGTTAATAGGAGTAGGCCATTTTTAAGGAACGGAACTGTAACCAATATGAATTTTCGTTCCGGGTCGCGATTCACGAAGGGAAAGAAAGCTTACTGCTTTTTCGGAGCTGGATATATATGATTGCCGCTTACTTATTGAGTTATTGACTAGGCTTACATACCTGAAACACTATATTTGACCATGGAGAGACGGCGAAGACGTACGGATTCTCTTAGCGATGATGAAGATGGTAAGTTGATTTTACTTTTGACCTAATTTTTGTATTGTTGTGACTTGAGTTTATATTAATAACTTGCCCAGGCCCAGTGCTTCCCATTTAAAGTACCAAACAACAATAACCTGTTATCGATTAGGATAATGAAGTATTTGTTATGAATACAAATATTATTAAATATAACCATAAACCATCCTCAGGTCAATCATGAATATGATGGCTGATACTGATGTCCCAGCAGGCCTATAACTATTGATGTGCCTATTCCGACCAGGCTACCAGAAGTGAGAGGTTGGAATTAAAAAATGTTGAAAATATTATTGTTGTGTTTGTAAGATAAAATTGGTATCGAATAAAAGATAATTGAATGGACTATATGTTTGTAAACTTAATTTTTCAGTTTAACTAAAATAACCTACAACAAATGACATCCGAATAGCATTTAGTCAAAATGGACCCGGACACGCATCTCTGCTATTTGGAACCAGGTCCCTTTCGACTAAATGCTAATCGGATCTCATTTGTGGTAGTTTAAAACACTGATAGTCCATTAAATTATCTTTCATTTGATACAAAATTTTGTCATACAACCATACAATAATATTTTAAATATTTTTTAATAAACCCAACCTCTCACTTCTGATACCGGGTCCAAATAGCCGCAGCCAGTATAGCCTAAATTTAAATATATTAATATTCAATGTATCAATACTAAATATTACTACTGATGTGGACAGTAAATGTCAGCCCTAAAAGGCTAAAATTAAGTTTCCTATTTCTACACTATTATTAATTATATTATTTATATCAATAATTATGTAATTGTAGATCAGATCAATATATTTAAATTTAATGATTTTTACGCTAAAGCACACAATTTGTGCCATGAAATCATTTACGTGGTTTATATAGCTCAATGTTAGTAGTAGTAGGTTTAGGCGTTTAGGGATAGGCTTAGGGTTCAGGTTAGGTTTAGGGAAAAGGATTGAGTTTAGGGTGACTTTTCATGTGTCGTGGCAACTAAGATGGCGGCCGTGGCGCGGATTGTTTGAATAAACTGATTGTTATTATAAATATAACCCTAAACCAACCGCAAGTTCCGGTCAATCATCATACCGGCAGGTACTTGGGCAAAATTTTCAAAATGAAGTTATAGCTTTAAGAATTAGTTTAATATGGCCTGAAAATTCAATTCATTAATACCAAATTTATGGTTGTAGGTCGATTCTAAAGAAAATTATGATTTTTTTTCGTGAATTATTTTGGGATAGCTCTGTTAATTGAGACATATAGGAAAACATAAATGTGACTAAAATATAAACTGGGCAGAGATTTGAGATACAATTTTGAAAATATAATACAATTGTTGGGGTAGGTTGGTGGGGGGGGGGGGATTTTTATTTGCCCATTCTTATTATGTAATTGTCGATGCTTTAAAAAGTGGTTATCATGAAAATCACAACTGGTGGCTGGTGGAGACTGCACGAGAAATTGAATTGTAGACTTAGGTTATTTTTAACTTGATATATTTTTAATTAAAAAATTCTTGATTAAAACTAGGAAGAAACAGTATTGTTTTGCATCCCATTCTCTTTAAAATGATATATCACTCAACCTATTTAATACAGAAATGACAGCAAACCACATTTTCCCCCCAACACATATGCAATGTTTACATTTTGAAGTGGACAAAAAGTTGAACAAAGGGCACATAACTTTGCAAGGATTTGACACTGACAGAAAACTAATTTACCCAAGTACCTGAATATGGTGACTGTTGTTTGTTTACCCAAAAATTAAATGAACTTTTTTTAGTCATCTGTGTATGCAAATTAAACAAAATGAGTCAAATGGGTGATCATGCCAATCAGCACTATAATTATGAAACTTACCCTTACATGTGACATGTTAAATGGATGTGGGCTGTGATAATTTATAATTTTTTGTTATTATTAACCTAAGCTACTAAGTTAAAATGGATCAGGGTAGCCCTGGTAGGCCTAGGAATAAGTGCAGCAATTTTGAAAATATACCAACTCAAATCATTAGGAAGAATTAGGCTGTTAAGGCCAATTATGCATACTTCTTAGTCATTAATTTATTTTCTGGTAACTAAACAATTGCTTTGATTTTGTGAAATAAAATCTTTGTTCTTTTTATGGTCATTTTTTGTGGTATAGGCCTTAGTATTGGCATGTTTCAAGCTTTTTGCAGAGTAAAACTAATTTCAACTTTTTGGGGGACATATCAGATATTTTGTACATTAGGACCATTATTATTGTGCATCATTCAGATGACAGAGGTCGTAAACGAAGAAGAATTGCAACAGATGGTGTTGACATAGAAGACAGGCTCGAATCTCTGATTACAAGAGTCGGTGAAAAGGTAGATTAAAAATGATAACAATTAAATTAATCAATAAAAAGAGTTCTTTAACATTAAATATAATCTTGAAATTACTATAGGGGGGGAAAAAAATTTGGTTAATTTTTTTTACGCAGTGATCACAATGTTTGAAAGTGGCTATTGAAATTGGCTTATTAATTAATAACTGTTTGTTTGTTTGTTGAAACGTTGTGAATCTAATTCACTTTATACTTGTTTTGTAGAGTACATCATCTCTTGAAAGCAATCTGGAAGGCCTGGCAAGTGTTCTTGAGGCAGACATACCAAATTACAAACATCAGATAATGAAAATTTTATGCCAGTGGTAGGAGATTTATCAATAATAATTTAAACATTTACAAATGATATAAAACGGAAAGAAAAACTAAATTCTTTTTTTTTTTTAAATCCCATTATTTTCTATTATGATAGATGATAATTTAACCCCACTATTTTTCAATTGCAATAAATAAGAAAGCTAAAATTTCACTGTTCACATTTTTTAACCATAAGGAACAAACAGAACTTAAAATTTCTTTAAATGGTATGTGCTGTTAAATAGTTTCATACTTCATAAACCAGTGTCACAAAAATAGTGTAAGGGTATTGATAATCTCTTTGTAATATTTCAGTGTTGTTAGTTTACCTGAGAAATTGACTGTTTACACAACCCTTGTTGGACTGTTGAATGCTAAAAATTACAATTGTGGAGGAGAGGTTTGCTATAGCTCTAATTATCATTTGTTTTATAATAATTATTATATTATTAATTATCGCTATTTTGAATATTTAGAGCTACTTTATATTTTGGCCTACTGGATTAAATCTGATCAGTTCAAATAGCAACTGCTATTTGTCAAGGTGTTTTTTTTTTTCATAAAATTATTTATTCATTGAAATAAATTTGCTATTATTTTAACAGTTCGTTCACTATGCGCATTTACTTTTTAAATTAGATTAAAATCTTTTAAATTATGTCCTTGTATAAAACAAAACTAGTCATCTGCTACTTTTATTCTAATCTACTTAAAATTCTTTTAATAGTTTATAGAAATGCTTGTTCGCAACTTGAAGGAAGCTCTCAAGACAGGGGAGTTTGAGAATGCAAGAATGATGGTAAGTTCATTTAAGAGTTTCAAAGCATAAGAAGTCTTAACCTCATCGTTTTAACTTCTTAAGACCTGTCTAATTCTTGGAGTCATAAAATATCTGGTGTTGGTTTTAAAAATCAAATTTAAAAATAATTTAATGAACCCTGTATTTGCAACTAAATGGATAGTTGCTTCAACATGATGAAATTAAGGTAAAGCAAATCGATGTGGTCATCACACTTAATAAAATCAGGCAAATATTGTCATCACATTATAAATCCAGGCCTCCATATGCATTAACTTAAGAAATATATCAGGCCAGACCATCTGAAATGTCAGCAATATTAATCAGTGATTTTCATATCTTAATATGGAATAAAAACCAAAATGAATCAATGAGAATATAGGCTCATTTTTTTTTATAATTGAAAGCTTAAAATGTAATTTATTGCAATTACAGACATCTATTTCCTATAAAAGTTTCCAGTCTTTCCTAATATTTAATAAAATTACCTACTTAAATCCATGATTGTCTTAATCAGTATTCATACTAAAATATAAGTCAAAATGCCAAATTTCATCTATCGTTAGAAATGGCACAAAGGCCACAATTTCCCAACAAATAAAAAATCAAGATTTGCTGGTTCATCACATAACCTCAACACACACTTACAATAACAAAATCAAGATTTACTGGTTCCTCACATAACCTTAACACACACTAACAATAACAAAATCAAGATTTGGTGGTTCCTTACACATAATCATAACCTCAACACACACTAACATTAACAAAATCAAGATTTGCTGGTTCCTCACGTAACCTCAACACACACTAACATTAACAAAATCAAGATTTGCTGGCTCCTCACATAACCTCAACACACACTAACAATAACAAAATCAAGATTTACTGGTTCCTCACATAACCTCAATACACACTAACACCTCTCATTGCAGGATGTAGTTTTATACTGACCTCAAGCCAGTATTTGATTACCTGCTAAAAAGTCAAATATATACCAACAAAAATCTTTATTAACATACCTGATCCAAGTCTGCTAGTTTTTTATATACAGTAAGTTTTTAAGTATTGTGGGGAGCAAAAAGGTTTCCATAAGTGACCAATTTATATGAATACATTTTTTTCATTTCTTTCAAAACTTTGCTTTAACTTATTTGACAGGTGCGTTTTCTATCTGATTTGGTGAACTGCCATGTTCTAGTTGCTGCATCTCTTCTTCAAATGTTTGATAGTTTTGTGGAGGTCACTTTGGAAGACAATATTCCACAGGTTATTGAAGTTAAATTTTTAATTCAAAATAAAGTATAAAATATGAGCTATTGTTGTCCTTGAACACACACCCACTAAATTATGAGACAAGTAGTCTCAGTAGTTCTATAAATCTTTGAATATATAAATAATCTTTTTTTTGTTGTTTTTGTAGGTCAGATCTGATATTTATGTATATTTGGTACTGTCAGCATTACCATGGGTGAGTAATACGTAACAATTTTGTGTTTGCAATTAAAATAATGTTAAAAGTTTTAAGAATGTATGTTCAATTTATAATTTTATGTACATTTCTTACCTTTTCATGTGCATTTAAGTTCGCTTAGTAACATCAAAAGCAAAACTGAATATTTCTAACTATTTTTAAAAACCCTTTTTTTTTTCTCTTGAACTTGACATTTTTCTTCAAAAAATTATTGTTTGTTTTTTGCAACCCCCCCTTTTTTTCATCTAATAGGTTGGACGTGAGCTTTTTGAGAAGAAAGAAAATGAGCTAAACAGCATGTTGGTTACCATTGAAAATTATTTAAGGTATGTTTTTTTTTTTTTTTTAAAGATAAGAATAAGAAAATTGTTAATATTGTAATGATAACGGTTGTAAACAGCATGTTGGTTACCATTGAAAATTATTTAAGGTATGTTTTTTTTTTTTTTTAAAGATAAGAATAAGAAAATTGTTAATATTGTAATGATAACGGTTGCTTGAGTCGTCTGACTAATAAATTATTATAGTCCAAACATTTTTATTTATTTAATTTTTTTCATAGTCCAAACATTAATAAAACAATATTTTATTTTAAATTCAATATCTCTTCCAACCACGTATAGCACTCTTGATTCAATGATATATTGTGTTTGGTGTTAACTTTTGTCTAAAAAATATCATTAATCTTTACAAAAATCATTACATTTTAATTTTCTAGCAAAAGACAAAAGGTTCATCTTCCTGCATTGCGAGTTTGGCTTAATGAAGGACCACATCTCCAAGAAGAAGTAATATATATATATATATATTTTAAAAAAAATTTAATAATTTTTTTTTGCTTAAAAATTTAGAAGTTATTTTTCTTGATGTAAGCTTCATGAAAAGAATTATTTATCATTAAATAATTTCTTTTTTTTCCTCAGTATCTCGATTGCCTCTGGGCTCAAATAAAAAATCTGCGGAGTAACAGGTGGAATGAAAAGCAAATAATGCGACCATATTTAGCCTTTGATGGTGTTTTGTGTGATGCACTTCAGCACACACTCCCACAGATTATCCCCCCTTCTCACAACAAGTCAATGGTTTATCCCCTACCCAGGGTTGTCTTCAGATTGTTTGATTACACTGATGTTCCTCAGGTATTATTAGCTTTATGTTAGAAATCTCAATTTATTATCTATTATTTTTAATTTGAATAATTTGTTGGAATAAATTTTACTGATGATTTATATATATAAATATATATATATATATATTTTAGGGGACCGTTTTGCCTGGAAGTCATGCCATTGAAAGATATTTAATAGAGGAACAGATAAACCGGATTATAAATACCCATCATTTAGAGAGGAAAGATTGGTGAGTATTTAGATTTTAAATCACACTTTAAGATAGCTCCATACCAAACTTTCTTTAAAACGGATAAGACATTATTGTAAACACATTTTCTTGAGTTTAAACATTTTAATTTCTAAATGTTTCCTTCCAAATTTGATTTACCTTTTTATTTTAATGATAAAATCAAAGCAATTTTAAAATGTTAAAAATCATTACTCTTTCAGTGCTGTTGCATTATTGGGTTACCCTGCAAAAAACAAAATTCCATTGAACTACATGATTGTAGAGGTAAATTTTAGTTTTGTCCTATAAATAAATTATTGTCCATTTCTTCTAGTTGTATTTTCGTTCTCTAAAAATCCTATTGCTACTTAATCTTGCATTTCATCGGCTGCAACACTTTTTAAGATGGAACAAATTCATGGTGTTTGGAATTTCATAATAATAATTAGTGATCTTTTATAGCGCGGTACCCCAGCCTACGGCTGGGCTCACCACGCTGTACATAAAAATATTATCAAAATAGACATAATCATGACATTAAAATCAAATACAATTTTGAAATAAATCCCAGCATGAACCCCAGGACTTTAAAAAGGCAAACCATGGACGGCAGCCAACAAGATCATTTATCGGTCAAAGAAGGGGAATCAGTCAGGGTAGTATAGTTTAAAGAGATGTGTTTTGTGTGCAGTTTTGAAGGCATGGGTGGTTGGTATATAGCGGATGTGTAGTGGCAAAGAATTCCATTGTTTGGGGGCGTAGAAAGAGAAAGATCGTTTACCATATGTTTTAGTGTGTGTCTTGGGAATGGACAGAATACGCGTAATTGAAATATTTATTTGTTCAAATAATGCCCCACTTCAAATTTATAGTAAGATATTGCAGACAAAATGAGTAAAATTTCTATTAACTGATAAAGTTTTGTTTGTTTCCTGCAGGTCATGTTTGGGCAGTTGTTTGAATTGCCAAGAGCTCCTTACTTGGAGCTTTTTTATGGTGCAACTTTCATTGAGCTGTGTAAGATTCAGCCCTCATCAATGCCAGAAGTTGTATCCTTTATAATATTGGTTTATAATTAAAGTGTTTTAGTAATCTATACATTACTTTTAGTTCTGTTTTAAAATAGTTGTTTATATGTGTGATTTTTATGTTTTTACAAAATTTTATCCTTAATGAAAAAATTAGCTTGCTCAAGCCTCAGAGATGCTTTTTGACAGACTGGACACAATGCATTCAGTTTGTATTGAGAGGTAATCATACATTTGTTTTTACATAGAAGTAGTTCCATCCATTTAATGTCGAAATAAAGGGCATACAGATATAGTTTCCTTCTGATCCCATTAGATTCTTAACTTTAAAAAAATTAAGGAAATGTATTAGAAGCTACTGAGTTTACATTTAAATTCTAAAAATATTTTGTTTTTATCAGTTGACTTATTGATTGCTTGCTGCATGCGTGAAAGAATTACAATTTTCAATGGTTAAGCAATAAACGTTTAAACTAATACAATAAACTTATTATTTTCTCTCACTAGGTTTGTGCATTGGTTTTCATACCATCTCAGCAACTTTCAATACAAATGGAGTTGGGAAGACTGGGCAGAATGTGTCAATATGGATCCAAATGCTCCAAAGTCTAAGTTTGTCAGAGAAGTTTTACTTAAGTGTTTGAGGTAGGCAGCAGCCCCAGTGTTATTAGTTACTAACATGCAATTCAGGATGTCAGTCTTCAATCATTTTTAGTATTTTAACTATTTTGAATTCTACTTTTTGTATGGGGTGGATTGGCAAATGCAATTAGCTATTTTGCTCTACGGCCAGCAAATATCCGGTAAAGCAAAGAAAAAAGCAAATACCGATATTAATTTTTAATATATATCCCAGTACCAATTAACCTTATAAATATATCATTCAGGAAGGAAATAATGTGAAAAATATTTTACCCCCATTCCTGAGTACATAAATATAAGCTTTCAATCCATCCCCCCAATTTATTTATAGACAATTAACGGTGTAAACCATGTTAAAAATGTTTGACAGGTTTTCTCTCCTGTCTGTTCGGTGTTGTAGCCTAGTCACTCCTAAATGGGACCATAAAAATATCACCCGATTTTGATAACTTTCTTACCAATTCCAATCGAAGGTTTCAGGGCATGATATCTAGCAGACCTATTTGTATAGCCTTCAAAAATAATTATCAATCATAGAAATCATTATATCTAGCAGACCTATTTGTATAGCCTTCAAAAATAATTATCAGTTATAGAAATCATGGATTTCATTTATTTTTGGGAGATATATGGCTTTATTAGATATCATATGATAAATGGGCTATTTATGGACTGTCAGAATTTTTAGGTAAATGTAATGCATAATGTAAATACCGATACTTTCTCCTAGGCTTTTTAGAACAATATCACCTTATGGAATTGATTGAATTCTCTCCTACTAGTGATCCTCAGTTTCCCTGTATTTCTCTTCCGATTTCTTATATTTTAAATATTTCCAAAATATTTTTGTCAGTTAAATTTATTTTTTTTCACAGTAAATTTGCATGAATTCTTTTACTTCCTGAAATCCTTGTTTTGGAAAAGCTAACTTCTGGTTATAACTTGAAAAGGGAAAACTTAAGTTTTTGAACTACTTTCTATTTCTTGTTGTTTCTTCATTTGTCCTGTCAGGTGAGGAAGGCTCTTAACCGAAACGTTCTTCTTTTACTGTTCTGTCTTTCTATTTCAAGCTGCCACATACCTTGTTCTTCTATTTCCATAACACAGCCTGAACGTACTCCTTTATTTGTTAAGAATATTTATCTATGTGCTGAAAATGAATATGTACCATGTAATAAAAACACATTTCCATCTATTTTGATCAATAAAAGAATCATGTATAACTAGTTTGTCTTTACCATCTTATTTGGCAGATTCTCCTACTATCAAAGAGTTGTTGAGTCAGTGCCAGAATCGTTTGCTTCTCTCTTGCCTCCTGATCCTAAACCTTTTTACAAATATGAACAAGAAGGTGCAGGTATGTATTCTCCATTTATAGATTACCGGTACCATAGCATTGTTATACAAATATTGAAAACTAAGGCTTTAACCAATGCAGTTTTTACATCGGGTCCGGGTATTTTAAGAAAAAATCAACCAGATAGTCACACCAGAAGCTTGCTGCGGGACTGCTTTTTTTCCCCACTCAGTACTATAAATATAAAATGTGGAGTTGGGGAGGGTGTGGTTTTGAAGAGGAAGCAGGATGAATCAGAGAAAAATATTTATAAGAGATAACAAGAAGGTGTAGGTATGATATCTTTGATATAGATTACCATTTAATTTGCAATGCTAATTGAATTATTGTATTATGTCACTATATCAATGTTCCTCCAATAAATGTATTTCCATTATTAAGTTTTAAACAATTCTAATTTAAGTTTATTTTCTATCCAGGATCTCTTGCTGGTACCATGCATGCACATAAGTTAATTAGTTCTATCAGGAGTAAGTGCACACCAGAGGAGGCAGCTCAGCTTCTCAAAGACTTGCCTAATGTCTATCCAAATGGTCAAGAGAATGGTAAGTGACATCCAAAAGAACTTGCAAAGTTAAAATGTACATGTTTTATAAGTCAGATTGTTTACTGTACCAAATTCTGAGGTATTGCCTTATTTATTATTAATAATAAAAAGAAATAGACTTAGCCTAGGCCAAAGTTATCCTGTTCTAACATTTGGCTCAGATTGGTTTAAGGCAATCCTCACATATTATGCTTTATCTTTAATTAAGAGCAATATTTAAATCTTACAAATGAATATTCAAGGTAATATTTATTTTTATTATTTAATACTAAATTTATAATTTAAAGAGCTGTTGCCTGCTTTTGTCAGTTCCTGTCTGTCATTTTTTCATTGATCTCCTTTTAAGTTTAAGTTACTTCTGGGTAAATTATTTTTCTACTAATGTTGTTCAATAACATTAATAATAATACAAAAAGAAATAATGGAAATTTTTAAAATTTAGATGTTTTTATATCTTTTAAATTACCAGGGTATTATTATAATATTTAAAATGAACTGTGGTAATATCGAAAAGGCCATGCTATAATACCGTAAAGGGTCGCTATTGAAATTACTTTCATTAAATGCTGTTTTTATGCACGCTCAGTCGCCAAATGCGAGTGGATGAAGTACATATTTTGTTTGCATAGAAAAAGTAGCCTATATTCTATATATTGTTTAATTAAATATTGCTGACATACATGTGCCCATATAATGCAAACCCCTAAATTTAAGTTAAAATTTTTACTATACACTTCTAGCATCTTTTGAAGTAATATACACATTAAAATGTTTCCACTCTCACAAAGGTGTGCTTTATTTGAAACATAATAACATGTCAATTGTCAGCTTATTCGTTATGACAGTATAAATAAGATTCTAGTACGTTTAATTGCATATCAATTTTACTTAATTAAAATTGTAGAAATTTTTGGTAAACAATAATGAATAAAGCAATTAAAACTTACCAAACTTATTGGATAGCTGTGGGTAATGTCATTATCAATTATCATTGGAAATGAGAAACATGGGGGGAATGATAATTCACACTCTCAGAATAAGTCTCAGTTGCTATTTTGTCTTGGGATGAGGTGGGTATCCCTATCACCAACAGACACATGTGGTGAACAGAGCTCTTCAGTGGAGAGAATTTGGTTTTCCATGCACAACATAATTGTGTTTAAGTTAATGTATAGCCTATACAATAAAAATTATTCTCAAAATATTAAATGCAAATTTCATTGTATACGGCAAAAATTATGCATTCAGTAAGTCAAGTAAACAGTTGTATCTAAATTTAATGTAGATAATGAAGTTGTCTGTTGAATGCTATATTTTTATGAACATTATATTTCTGTTGAAATGACTAAAAGAAGAAAAAATGGTTGAAGACATACTGCTTATGGCTGACAGAGGTTAAAGCAGATGGGAGCTAAAAATGTGGAGAAGAATTCCGACTAACAGAAATCTGAGACATTTAAACTGCATTTCATAATTATTTTCAATGTTTGAATCGACTTCGCTGTGTGAAACAGCACTATCAATTATGTATGGGATTCTTCAAGTCAAAATGCAAATTTTGAATTGTTCATGTGAATATTTACAGTCAGCCATGAGCTGTGCCTTATGATTAAAGAGTAAAAGAAAGGAATCATTGGAGTTATGCCCTATTGTCTAGCCTATAAGTATCAGAGATTTCATTTTGAAATAGGTTAAGCAGAGGTAGGTTTTAAGAAAGGTTAAAAAAAAAAAAGTAAATATATTTATACTTCAGTCATTAAATAATTGGCTCCTGCACCTTTATATTTACAGAGAATCCATCTTTCAATCCACTGAAGATAGATGTGTTCTTTTCTACTCTTCTTCACTTGGGTTCCAAGTCTATCAGTCACTCCTTCGCTGCCCTGGCTAAGTAGGTTTTATTACCGTTACTTTCATGTGTACATCCTTATATAATATGGTTAGAATTAAAGAATCATAATTGGACGAGGTTAATTATTTTGTATTGTCAGAATTCTAGTTTTTAAAATATTTCTTTAAATTGTTAAACTGTAGCATAAATAAAGCTGGATCAACATTGATAATGTTGCTTTATTATTTTTTATAAAGCTACTAGTTTTATGTATTCAATTTGTTTTCTCTATATATGCTTAGGTCTGCTTAATTCTTATAATTGAGATTAACTTTTATCTATATTTTTTTTATTGATTCATTTGATGTTACACTAATTTTCATTGATAAGATTCCATCCTAATTTGAAGTCTCTTGCTGAGTTCGAGGATGGAAAAATATGCCTTTTAAAAGTCCTTTATGAAACATGGAAAAATAATCAACAGGTATAAAATAAATAAATGATTAAAATGCAAATGTACACTTTAAATTTTTTTTTCTTTACTTACTTAACTTAATTCACTTTAACTATCTTACTGGCAAGTATGTAAGTTGTATACATTTGTAAGATTAAATTGTACTATTTGTTTTGTTGATTGTTTTATCTTAAAGCTTACATCATATAAAAGTAAATTTTCGACTATTTCTACTATCAGATTTTTAAAAAAAATGACAGGAATTATTACTGAAATTGTATGCACGAATTGCATAAAAATTTGCTAAGAACTACGTATACATAAACTGAACAAGGAAGCTAAAAACATGTATATTAATGTTTTTCTTAAATTGACCAATTTAATTCTTATTTATAAGTTATAAAAAATATAATTTTTATTTAAGAAAAATATTCAATTCTTATTATAAGTTACAGGTATAAAATATATTGACATTTTCCCATGTCATAAATGCAGTGTTATAACTTGCAGGATTTAATACTTTAATCAAATTTTCTTTTTAAAGATCATGGTCGTTCTGGTTGATAAATTACTAAGAACAGAAGTGGTAGAGTGCTCATCAGTTGCTAATTGGTTATTTTCATTTGAAATGCAACATGACTTTACAAGGTTAGTAATTCTGGAGAGATTATTTATCTAAAACTGTTGGTCTCCATTAAAAATTATATTGAAAATAAATGTGTGGAGGAATAAATTTACTTCAGTGTATTATCTGGTTGGCTATTTTAAAAACTACATTTAGTACCACAGTTGAGGATAGAAATATTTTCATCTGTTTAGGTGTGCACCCATTTTTAGAAATATTTTAAGAGTTTAACATACATATTTGTGTCTTTAGATCAGGTATCACATTATGATTGTTTCTTTAGATGAGGTATCACTCTATAATTATGTTTTTAGATCCAGGGTATCAAGGTTTGTAATGTCAACATTTATTTTCTCCTGCCACTCAGTTTCTATGTATGGGAAATAATGCATAGCACTATTAAGAAAATGAGTCGTCATGTTGATCAGCTGCAGCTTGATGTTGACAATGCCCATGACAAACAAGAAGCTGCAAAAAGAAAGGTTAGTCACCAAAAGTGAATATTTCTCTCTAACATTTGCAGTGTTGCTGCATAAATTTGATAGTTATTCTTTCTTCTAGTTTCTAAACTTATACATAGATATTTTTTTAGTTAGCTGCAATGTTATATCTGAGAGAAAACCGGGACTAAATTCTGATAATATATTGCAGCAAATTATTTATTTTAATTTTATATTAGTTTACTGTTATTTGTTTGCTGAAAAAAGCTTCTTGCTGGCACGTTTGATGTTTTATTGTGTCCTTTTTCAGGTTTTCCCCTATTTTGTTTTTCTTATTTTCTTTTACGTTTACCAAACTTGATTGCTGTCTCTCCCCCTTATTACCTATTTGCCACTTACATTTCCTAAAATGTAAAAGCCCTTAAATATACAGGTACAGTGGCCATATTAACAGGGATTTAAATAATATTTAAAGGTACAAAATCTGGGGAAGGAAAATATAATTTACTTTCTACTCATTCCCTCGTGTAAATTAAATTGCTTTCTACTCATTCACTCGTGCACATAAAATTGTATTTTACACTGCAGTGGAGGTAAAAGTCGTTTTGTATGGAAGCCACTGAAGAAAAATATGAATTGTTGAGAATACTGGGATAAACAGTTAAGTGGGGCCAGGGGAGCGGTGGGGTTAGGTGCAGTATGTTGTGGAATTGGTGTCCTGCCCATGAACAAAAATATATTATTGCAACGCCTTATTTGACATTGTTTCTGTTATTTTGTTTGCTCATCAGGAAGCAGATGGGCTGGATGCTGGTGAAGATGATGTTCCAAGTGATGAAGCTATTGAAAGGATGGAAGAAAAACTTGAAGCGGCTACGAGTGCTCAGAAAAATCTTTTCCTTGTAATATTTCAGGTTGGTTAAGTTTTTAACCTTGTTAATTGGTGTTGTAAAAATTGATGCACATTAATATTTAAAAAATTAATGTTGAAGATGAAACAAAAAGCAATTAGTTGAACTATTTTTAAAAAAGACAAAATTTATTATAAATTTTAATGAAAAATTAATACTCCTAAAGTTATACAAGTTCTATTTTTTCTAGAGATTCATCATAGTCTTGACTGAACATCTTGCTAGATGTGAATCTGCTGGCGTGGACTACAATACACCATGGTACAAATGGGTCATTGAGCGACTGCAACAAGTTTTTCTAATGGTATGTTTTTAAAAAATAATATTTAGTCACACAAATACAACATTAAATTGTATAATAATCGTAGAGGAATTACACAAGCTATTGACCAAAGGACAGACACAAAAAATGGCTGCTTGTGGGCTCTTTGTTATTTAAAAAGATTTCTTGATTTTAATACTTTAAACCCGTTTTGTTATAAAACATGAGTAATTTGATATTTCTCTTCTTTTTTTGCAGCATCACGAGCTTGTATTTCGTTACATCAACACACTGGAGCAACTATTATTCACTAGTGACATTGACATTCACATCCTTGAAGTATTTCAGCAATTTTGTGCTTTGAGATCTTAAGACAGCCAAGAAGAAATTTATGTTTTAAGCTTATTTTAATGGTTGTTTTGTACATTTTTTAAAAGGATGTTTTGTTGCAAATGTTAAGTTTCATCAACTGTTTATAAAAGTTTGTTTCAAAACATGTTACAGTACCATTGTCCTTTCAGGTTAACTGACAACTCAAATAACTCAAAACTAATTGTATGGATTTTAATAAAAATTTTACCAGTTTTAGAACACATTAAATTTAAATTCTTTATAAATTTGAAAGTCTCACTGAATTAAAATTTGAAAAGCTTTTAATTTTAAATATTAATTAAGAGTCTTTAACTTTGATACTTTTTATAAAAACCATCTTGCTGTTTTTCTTCTCTGATGATTTAATAGACTGAGACCATTTTAACTTGGATTTACATTTTGTCACTTTTAACTTTTAAGAAATGTATGAATTATAAGTATGTTTTCCTTTGATTTGAAGAATGCTTGTTAAGTTTGCATTACCATATTTAATCACATTTAAGTACAGGTACCCTACAAATTTTCATCATATGTCAAGCATTAGGTAGGCTTAAAAATTCAAACAAGAATGTTATTCTTAGTAAGCCATCATGTGTTTAAACAAGGTTTTTTTTTATGTGATCTTGTAATTTTAATTAGATTTTGTAATGTTGTTGTATTATTATGTAAACACAAAATTACGATATTAAAATTTATTAGAACATATTGTTGATTTAGAACTATTTCCTCACCTTTAGCCTGCGGGCTGCAGTATGACTTAGTGATAATGCTCTATGTTTACCATATCAGAGTTAATATCATTAGTTAATATTACATTTACATATGCCTGAAGCTGTACTGAAAACAAATCACTTTTTGTTTTAAAATCTGTCAGATATATTGCTCAGAAAACAGTAATAGGTTATGATCTTTGGCTTATGCACAGGACATATCCAACAAAACTCACACCTCAACTGCATGAATCCAGACAGAACACCATAATGCCTCCCTCTGCATACATGCAAGCAAGGACTTCTCAGGACTTTAGCTGTACTCATCTACATTTACTATACCGGTACTTGACTTTAATATCTAGAAAAATATTAACTATAGGAGTCATGCCAATTTCTCACAATAGCCTCAGTGCCCAAATGGATCAGGATGATGTTTTGAAAGTTGAACCAGTTAATGATAAGAATGCCTTTTGGATGATTACTACTTAGTTATTGATTTAATCCAAATCATTGTCACTTCCATTAAATAACATGCTTTTTTTCTAGAGTGTAATTTTGTTTTTATTTATTTAAACAAGATGCTCTGCCTCAGTCACTTGAAGGTTTGTGTTTTCTATTAATATAAGAACCGGTATTGCATATTAGTACACTGGTTCATTACATTACAATCTGAAATAAAAACTTGGGTCCTCAACACAATAATTATTATTATTTGTCGTTCACAGGCGAAGATGACCAAGGCAATATTCGACTTAATTAGAAGTAGTAGTAATAGTAGTCATCTTGAATTGAATTTTGTTAAAAGTGAGGGAGAGGTGCTCAATTAGTCAGCCTTACTCTCTGGCCCTTACCCATTTGATTACATGGCAAGGTTTAGTCAAAGACTTTAATAAGAAATTGACCAGGATGCAGTAGATGACCAGCAGTGTTTGTGTTTCATTGTGCTCGTTAAGCGGTCCACATCACAGAAGTTGTCAGAATATTCATTGTGTCAATGTAATACCACGTACAGGACTCCATCTCTGGGTCTGATTTACGAGATGGCCTTCTCTCAAATAAGTTGCGATCCAAGGTTAACAAGTCTCATCCACCCGGGGTGCAGGTGTTAGATGAGCTGCCACCCAAGGTTAACAAGTCTCATCCACCCAGGGTGCAGGTGTTGTTTTTGCTTGTCTAGGCTTTTGCTGGGGATTGAAATTTTCGGAAAGTTGCCATCACATCAATAAAAGTTGGTGAATCAGAGATCCAGTTGTCCTCCACTGTCAGAGACCTTGGCTTATATACTGAAAGTAAACTTAGAATGATTCCCCATATCAGTTCTGTGGTCAGGGCAAGCTTCTGTCATCTGCGTGCCCTGGGTCAGCTGCGTCCTCAACTCAAAAAGAGAACTACTAATGCTTTAGGGGTAACTCTAATCAAGATTAGATTACTGAACAGTTGCTTGTGGGGTTTACCTCAGAACCAAATTCAGAGACTCCAGAAAGTACAAAATACTGCAGCACACATTTTATCGCGGATAAAGAAATCTGACCACATCACCCCAGTTCTACGAGATCTCCATTGGGTTCCTGTGAGTGAGCGCATTAACTACAAAATTCTGTCCCTGGCGTACAGCTGCATAGAAGGCTCTGCGCTGGAATATCTTAAAGAACTGATTTATAAACATGTATCCTTAAAGAACCTGTGGTCTTCAACACAGTACTTAATGAAAATTCCCATTGTGGATGTACGCAGAAAAAAGTCTTATGGAGTGTGCTATTTTGAAGCGATAGCGCCAAAATTATGGAACAGTTAGCTCCAACCTTTGAGGGGAATTGAAAATGATAAAAAATCATTTAAGAAACATTTAAAAACTTTTTTGTTTAGATAGATTTAAGTAAGAAAACCAGTGAGCATGCTAAAGTAGCATGGATATCAGCACTATATAAATATCCAATCAATCAAAAACTCCTGTCAACAAAAGCTTGGGATTGACTGAGTTGAGACCGCTCTCCAGGACCTAATACAACTAAACACTATTGAAAACAGTCCAGATTTTAACTTTTGCTTCACATTTTTGTTTTAATATGATATGACTTGGATAATATTAAAAGTAAAGCTAGGTTAACAACAGCACATTTTTGTTTTAATATGATATGACTTGGATAATATTAAAAGTAAAGCTAGGTTAACAACAGAACTATATTATTTGTACTTGTTAGAGTTAGAGCATTTTTAAATAATTTAAAAAAAATTTTTTGAAAAATTATTTAAAGATTTTTGTTTACTTTTTAATAACTACTTTATTCTGCTTGAAAAATAACAGCACACTTCAAACATGAATGTTAATAATAATGTTAGATTTACATTCCATTATTGCATGTCAAAAACAAATTAAAAAGTTTTAACAAATACAACTACCGGTATACATTAAATATAAATTACAGTGCAAAAATCCAACCACTCTCGCTAAATGAATATATATTTCATTAAATGTTAAACTTAAACTCAGTTTTATTAACTTGCCAAAAATATTTAATAGAAATCAAAAGTCTGTCACCCTCCCCTTTCTTTCCCAGTCTCCATATCGAGTAGGCTCAGGACCTCTAGGTCCACCTATTTCTCCTGTTAATGGATTTTTATTGTCTGGGAATCGTTCCAAGGGTTCTTTTTCTCCTTGAGGCTCCCTCTCTTCTGATTTCAATTCCAATGGTTCATCGAATTTACCAGCTGGTGTCTTTCCTTTTCTAGCGCCAGTTTTTACATTTCCGTTTTCAGAAAAACATCGATGAAGTAAAGTGTTGTACTGAAGCTTTATGTAAGTATTCGTCAGAAGATCTGAAAAGCAAATAAGTAGCAAAATTATAATCATATACCGGTAGTAATAAAAATCAAATTTGATTAGTAAAAATTATATAATCATCCTTGCTCCTTGACATTGCCCCCCCCCCCTCGTATCGCCTACACCTGAGACTGGATACCTTTCAATTACCATACTAACAATATCAGGTGTTAAAAAAAACTACTAATTGAATGAATAATTAGTAACAAATGTAATTTTAAGCATACAAATACACTCACTTTTTTAACACAGCCAAAAGCTGCATAGATTGAAATAAAAAGATAAATACCGGTAATATTTTTCCTACCTATTTTACAAACTTGGATACACAGGCCAGTGATCTAAGCATGTTACTTGGATACATACATAGGCCAGTGGTCTAAGCATGTTACTTGGATACACAGGCCAGTGGTGTAAGTATGTTACTTGGATACACAGTACAGGCCAGTGTATTGTTTGTGACAGACCAGTAGTCTAAGCATGTTACTTGGATACAAAGGCCAGTGTATTGTTTGAAATATGTACCGGATATGTATTTCTTGAATGAGGAGATGGTAAACTTAAGGACTGCCATCTACTAAATCAATTAAAAAAAAAAAAAGAATAGTGGGCCAGACATAAAAACTATACTATGGCACTATGGGCAGTAATAAATATCCCCATTTTCCCCCTGACGATACTCTATCTAGCTGAAAATATGATTTATTAAGGCTGCATATTTCTTCTAACAATTTAACAGTTAAATAATGCTAATTTCAGATATAACAATATAAGTCAAGTATATATATTATATAATTATATATATATATAATATATATATTAGTCACTACTACCCTTGTATATTACTTAGAATCTAGTTAGAAATGAAAATGAATGTAAGAAAAGAGCTCATTATGTATATATTATTATTATATCGGCCTACACGGAATGAACTACCGGGGTATCTTAGAGGGGCATTGTAAATGATAAAAAATCATTTAAGAAAAATTTTAAAAAATTGGTTTACATAGATTTCTGAAAAGTGAGCATGCTAAAGTGACATGGATACCAGGGCGATATTATAAATATCCAAATTAATCAATGATTTTATTTTGATGTAGGCTATTGTAGGCGTAGGCCCTACTGATGAAGGCATTTGCCTAACCTAATAGTACAGTACCTTATCCTATAATCTACTATACAATCATTTAATAATATTCATATTGTCAAAGTCAATGGGTTTTTTAAAAATAGTTTTAATTTATTGTTTTATTATTTACACTATTATTGACATTGACAATTGAAACTCATGCCATTGTCATTATCATTAATCATCTTAAACAAGTAAGCAAGACTGTCATTACTTACGAATATTTTTGGTACCGGTAAATCGAAACATTTCCTTTTATATAAGTTTGAAATGTAGAATGTAAGCAATTAACTCATGCTATATATTTATATTACATATGCATTGCATTTTCCACTTTTTTTCCCATTATGAAACAATGCATATTGCCCTACTTATTTAACAAAAAACTTTTTTAAAAAACCTAATCACAACATAGTTGTGGAAATAGCGTTGGTTTATCGTCAGGTAACGCAAGTTATTTTTATCCCTTAAAAATATAAACATGGCGAATCGTGTTATCGATCCTGAATCAGGGAAGCGGGACTTTCAATTTTCTTGTAATGCGAATAATGATTTTAACCGATCAGAATTTAGTTTTAGACTTGACTTTACTGGAATGATGCCAAAAAGAAAGAGAAGGACCATTCATGGAGATGAAATACGTAATGTCGGAAATGACAGTAATGATAATAAGGTAAAAAAAAAAAAGGCTGCGGCTATCGATATTCAGTTTCAGACACAGAAAAGAAAGTGAGGTTGGGTTTATTAAAAAAATATTTAAAATATTATTTTTGGGTTTGTAAGACAAAATTTGGTATCAAATGAAAGATAATTGAATGGGCTATATGTCTGTAAACTTACTTCTTCAGTTTAACTAAAATAAACGACCACAAATGATATCCGAATACTAAAAAAGGGACCCAGGTCCAATTCAAAAACACCTTCCTGAGTACTTGTTGACCCACAGAACCGATAAGTGGCCTTATCCATAATAGTGACTTCACAAGCTATTTGACAATTTTGTTTTTGAAGACAATTCACAAATAATCATGCCTTTCTTACAATCTTAGTCTTAATGTAAATGTAAACTAAGGTTGCATCTGCCCAAAGGCATATATCATATAGAAAATGGAGCATACCCGACATGTCATTTTCTTTTGTCAATCTGTTGGTCCACACAGATCAACATTAAGACTGAGCTGGCTGCAGTTGAAAGTTTTTTTTACACCCTGTTTGAGGTATTTTGAGACAATACCTGGCGTGTCATAGTCCGGGTGTTGAAGAAAAGAGATATCTGCTCATTTTCTATAATTTATGTATTCCACACACTGGTGACAAGTGAAAAGTGCATTTATAGAACTAATAGGGACCAGGAAGATATCAAAGTTGATAACTTCAAAACACTGATAGTTTAATAATATAATCCAAACAGTAGCCATCCTAACTTAGCAGTTCTCGACCCCTTCGATTTAATAAATTAATTTTTGTTAATGATTTATTTTCCCTTTAGGCTGATAGAAAGAAATGGGGACCCTGAAAAGAATAAACCTAAATATGAAAAGGAAAAGCATAGGAAACTATTGGGAAACAAAGACATCAGTTTGGTATTATTTCTTGAAAGCTATGGACAATCTCTCAGCTAAATGTAACAAGATACTTTAAACATTGGGAGGCACAACTTCAGGCTTTCACACTCATTTAAATTCTGCACATTCCACTGCCTTGAAAGATATCGCCATTTCTAGTACTGGTACTCCAAGAGCATTGATTTCTATGTCATCTTGTTCTAAAACTTTCGCCAATGCAGAAGTTCAAACAGCGTAGAAGAAACAGTTTCTCATATGGCAGCTTTCAATCCGTTTTTTCATTACTTCTAATGATCAAAGGCGAAATCATGAAGCAATATGGCTACAATTTGCCTACATCTTCTAATTCAATTAAAAACATAGTGATAAATTGCAGTGAGACTTTTAAAACCTCTTTGATTAATAAAATGCGTAAGCTGAAAGAAGAGAAAGTTAAACTATCTCTGACACTGGATGAATGGATGAGTTTGGGACATCGTCACTTTATGAATGTAAACATTCATAGCCCTATGTTAATCAATGAATTTGTAAATCTTGGCCAAATAAGAGTGACTGGCAGCATGTCGGCCAGAACGTGTTTACAATTGTTGGAAAACAGGCTATCCGCTTTTGAATTGTCATTGAAAGATGATATAATCTGCATAACTACTGATGGTGCTAGTGTGATGAAGGTATTAGGACTTGAAGCAGCGCTTTACCATCAACAGCTTTGGTCATGGTGTACAGCTGGCAATCTTAGACGTCCTTTATAAAATAATATATTTTTAAAAAAACCTTTAACCTCAACAACATCAACCCGTAGAAGACGATTTTGATGGTCCTGACTGTGGTGATGATAATGGCCCATTTGATATAAATTAAAATAATGAATTTATTTTCGAAGATTTAATCGCGAAAGTGCAAGAAATTGCAACAAGTCGCCTAGCAAAATACGATTCTCCAGAAATATGGAAGAAATTGGTCGTTGCTTAATTTAATTTTAGATTGCAGCACACCGTGAAATAATTTAGCAGACATGTTAGGAAGGATAGTGAGATTAAATCAGTTTAATATTTGGCAACGTCTGAAGTTATACATTTGTGTTATTTTTAAAAGGTTATTAAAAATCAAAGGCAATTAAACAAATTTTTAAAATTTCATCGATTCATCATCACCTCTAATCTCGACAAAAAATTCTCTAAATATTGACAATATTGGAAATATCGAAAATATCGGGATTCGTAAACTTCATTATCGAAAATACCGGTTTTAGGAAAAGGGACAATTTTTGCGACCTCTAATAAACATTCCATCTACTTAAGATACTTGACAAAACATGCATTCAAGAAAAGCACATTATAAGATTCCCATTTAGTGATAACCCCTCTCCCCAGGTACACCACCGCACACTTTTTCATGGCCTGGACTATATTAATATTCTAATGTCTCACCCACCCCCTTTTACACAGCCGATTTTTTACATATTACTTACATTAAGACTATTTCTGTTAAACAAAAGAAAATATTGCACACTAAACGCACTTGCTGTATTTTTAAGAATCTTAAATAGGTATTTACCAGGAATTTTATTTTTTGTGCTATTGAACTCACCATTACACCATAACTTTCTTTCATATGTAGAGAATTATATGAATTGATTAGGTGCTAACAATACCAAATAAATCATATTTTAATAATTTTATGTAGCTGTAGTGTAGTCAGAGAGAAGTAACAATAAGGAACTAGTCCAATCAATTTAATTTATATTTGAATTTTAAAACTAAACTTAAAATAAGAAAAAAGAAAAAATGTAATTATCCAAACAATCCCCCCCCCCCCCCCCCACACACACACGCACACATCCAAATGTCTGAAATTTGCAAGTGACCCCTGAAATTTTGTTGGGGGTGGTGGGGGGGGGGCATTAGAAGGGATAGGGGTCAGTACCCGGCTCAGCCCTACTCAAGATAGTACATACTCAATAGTTAGAATGTTTTCTTTGTCTGGAATGGATTTGTAAAAGTAATTTCTATAGTCATGAAAACATTCAACTTGTTTCTTTATTTGCTTCTTTTAAAAGGAAAATGGGAAATCTGGAGCCAATGAAAGCAAAAGTGGAAAAAAGAAGAAAATAAAGCGTTCCAATTCAAGTGGCAATATTGCAGGCAGTTCTGCTCTCACACCACAAAACAGAAATATCAATCTTACAAGTATCGTGAAAGGCACAATCAAGCGTAGGGTCTCCACATGCCTACTGAAACACAAGCTGAGAAAATTACAGGTATACAATTTTAAACATATTATGTGTGGGTTATTTTCAAATTCAGGTAAAACTTGTTAGCCTGTCTCAAGAAACACCTGCTTTTTCTTTGATGATTCATTTGGGCTTGTAGACTCAATATTATCTCTGTGACTGTATTCTGCCTGACCTCGTAACAAGCAGCTTTATTCAATAATGAACTAAAAACGCTCAAGTTAAAAAGAATGGGGAATCAAAACCACAATAGAGAGAAAAGTGAGCTTACAAACTGGAGCTAAACTCAATGAAAAATATTGTGTTTGCTTTGGCCAGGCTACTATATTTTATTAGAATATACAAAACAAATAGCTGATTTTTATGGAGTATTTTATTATGAAATATAATAATTTATAGCAGGAACTTTTTTAGGACTGTAAATTAATTTGTCTCAAAACAATTTACATATTACAGTAATTACATGTAATAAACTTTCCCAATAGCCTAAAGCCATCAATGAGAATTGTTCAAGCGTAACTTTTTTTCTTCATTGATTTCCAGGATTACTCACTACCTTATCAACATGACAACTTTGCGTTGCTACGAGAAACATGCAATGTGTCTCAACAATCATCCAGTCCCTCAAGGAGCCAGAAGGCAACTCCTCCACCCAAGCCACCTCGTCAAAACCCACCAAAAAAATCCAAGTTAACGGCAGCCAAGTTTCAGGACTCTAGTGTTTCACCTGTTTGGAAAAGACAGAGAGTTCAAGCGAAGGTAAGAGTTTTATTTTTTAATTATAGTTTTAAAGACCTCATTTGGAGTAAGTCTTGTTGGATGCCTCCGGCTTCTTCTTTAAAGAGAATGTTAAATGACAAGATGTCTCCCTCTCTTTAACTCCCACAACAACCAGCCCTATTCTTCAAACCCAACTCCATTTCCCACAACCACCCATGGGGTCCCTCTTAGTTGTACCTACACCTACCTTTTAGTCAAAGCTCCGTATTTAAAGAATCATCCATCCCTCTATCCTCTCCATCGACAACACCCTCTACCTTCTCCCCACCGCTTCCACCCTATTTCCCACTCTTCCACTCACACACTCACAAAGACCCATGATCTCTCACTCCCCACCTTCTAAACAAGCCAAACCCAAATCTTCCCTCCATCCATTCACCCTCTGACATCTGCCTACAACTCTCCCCACCTTCTAAGCAAGCCAAACCCAAATCTTCCCTCCATCCATTCACCCTCTGACATCTGCCTACAACTCTCCCCACCTTACCAGCTCCACCCTAACTTTTCACCCACCACACCAGCCCCACTCTTACTTCAACCCAACTTACCAGCTGCACTCTTACTTCCAAACCAACTGAACAGCTCTACTCTTATTTCCCCATCATGGCGTGGGTCACAGTGTCAAGGATGAGAAAGGGTATGTAATGAGAGGTTGGGTTCGAGTCAGTTGAGTAGGAAGGTGGTTGTGGAAGGGGGCAAACACCACGGGCGGCACTTTAATCTTTATATTGAGGTGTGGCAATTTCAGCCAACTGCAGAGGTTTTTTTTTTTGTAGACATGGGTGTGTCAGAAGGGTTGGCTGACCCTGGACGGCACCAACCGTATCTACGCCAATGATAAGAGTATGAAATGATATCATGCATGTTAAACATTAACAATTCTATATCATCAAACGGCTATCTAAATTCTTTAAGTGAATTGACTGTCACCAATTGCAATCACATCTTGTCATCAATTGCAATCACATCTTGTCACCAATTGAAATTGAAATCACATCTTGTCACCAATTGAAATAACATCTTGTCACCAATTGAAATCACATATTGTCACCAATTAAAATCACATCTTGTCACCAATTGAAATCACATCTTGTCACCAATTGAAATCACATCTTGTCACCAATTTAAATTACATCTTGTCACCAATTGAAATCACATCTTGTCACCAATTGCAATCATATCTTGTCACCAATTGAAATCACATCTTGTCATCAATGGCAATCACATCTTGTCACCAATTGAAATCACATCTTGTCACCAATTGAAATCACATCTTGTCACCAATTGAAATCACATATTGTCACAATTGAAATCACATCTTGTCACCAATTGAAATCACATTTTTTCACCAATGGAAATCACATCTTGTAACCAATTGCAATCACATCTTGTCACCAATTGAAATCACATCTTGTCACCAATTGAAATCACATCTTGTCACCAATTGTAATCACATTTTGTCACCAATTGAAATCACATCTTGTCACCAATTGAAATCACATCTTGGTCACCAATTGCAATCGCATCTTGTCACCAATTGAAATCACATTTTGTCACCAATTGAAATCACATCTTGTCACCAATTGAAATCACATCTTGTCACCAATTGCAATCGCATCCTTTCACCAATTGAAATCACATCTTGTCACCAATTGAAATCACATCTTGTCACCAATTGAAATCACATATTCTCACAATTGAAATCACATCTTGTCACCAATTGAAATCACATCTTGATCACCAATTGCAATAGCATCTTGTCACCAATTGAAATCACATTTTGTCACCAATTGAAATCACATCTTGTCACCAATTGTAATCAAATCTTGTCACCAATTGAAATCACATCTTGTCACCAATTGCAATCGCATCTTGTCACCAATTTAAATCACATCTTGTCACCAATTGAAATCACATCTTGTCACCAATTGAAATCACATTTTTTCACCAATGGAAATCACATCTTGTAACCAATTGCAATCACATCTTGTCACCAATTGAAATCACATCTTGTCACCAATTGAAATCACATCTTGTCACCAATTGCAATCGCATCTTGTCACCAATTTAAATCACATCTTGTCACCAATTGAAATCACATATTGTCACAATTGAAATCACATCTTGTCACCAATTGAAATCACATCTTGGTCACCAATTGCAATCACATCTTGTCACCAATTAAAATCACATTTTGTCACCAATTAAAATCACATCTTGTCACCAATTGTAATCACATCTTGTCACCAATTGAAATCACATCTTGTCAACAATTGCAATCGCATCTTGCCACCAATTGAAATCACATCTTGTCAACAATTGCAATCGCATCTTGCCACCAATTGAAATCACATCTTGTCAACAATTGCAATCGCATCTTGTCACCAATTGAAATCACATCTTGTCACTAATTGAAATCACATATTGTCACAATTGCAATCACATCTTATCACCAATTGAAATCACATCTTGGTCACCAATTGAAATCACATCTTGTCACCAATTGTAATCACATCTTGTCACCAATTGTAATCACATCTTGTCATCAATGGCAATCACATCTTGGTCACCAATTGAAATCACATCTTGTCACCAATTGAAATCACATATTGTCACAATTGAAATCACATCTTGTCACCAATTGAAATCACATCTTGTTCACCAATTGCAATCACATCTTGTCAAAAATTGAAATCACATTTTGTCACCAATTGAAATCACATCTTGTCACCAATTGAAATCACATCTTGTCACCAATTGAAATCACATCTTGTCGCCAATTGTCACATATTGTCACAATTGAAATCACATCTTGTCACCAATTGAAATCACATCTTGTCACCAATTGCAATCACATCTTGTCAAAAATTGAAATCACATTTTGTCACCAATTGAAATCACATCGTCTCATCAATGGCAATCACATCTTGTCACCAATTGCAATCGCATCTTATCACCAATTGAAATCACATATTGTCACAATTGAAATCATACCTTGTCACCAATTGAAATCACATCTTGGTCACCAATTGCAATCGCATCTTGTCACCAATTGAAATCACATTTTGTCACCAATTGAAATCACATCTTGTCACCAATTGTAATCACATCTTGTCACCAATTGAAATCACATCTTGTCACCAATTGAAATCACATCTTGTCACCAATTGAAATCACATCTTGTCACCAATTGAAATCACATCTTGTCACCAATTGAAATCACATCTTGTCACCAATTGAAATCACATCTTGTCACCAATTGAAATCACATCTTGTCACCAATTGAAATCACATATTCTCACAATTGAAATCACATCTTGTCACCAATTGAAATCACATCTTGATCACCAATTGCAATAGCATCTTGTCACCAATTGAAATCACATTTTGTCACCAATTGAAATCACATTTTGAAATCACATATTCTCACAATTGAAATCACATCTTGTCACCAATTGAAATCACATCTTGATCACCAATTGCAATAGCATCTTGTCACCAATTGAAATCACATTTTGTCACCAATTGAAATCACATTTTGTCACCAATTGAAATCACATCTTGTCAGCAATTGAAATCACATCTTGTCACCAATTGCAATCACATCTTGTCACCAATTGCAATCGCATCTTGTCACCAATTGAAATCACATCTTGTCACCAATTGAAATCACATCTTGGTCACCAATTGCAATCACATCTTGTCACCAATTGAAATCACATTTTGTCACCAATTGAAATCACATCTTGTCACCAATTGTAATCACATCTTGTCACCAATTGCAATCGCATCTTGTCACCAATTTAAATCACATCCTTTTACCAATTGAAATCACATCTTGTCACCAATTGAAATCACATCTTTTCACCAATTGAAATCACATCTTGGTCACCAATTGCAATCACATCTTGTCACCAATTGAAATCACATTTTGTCACCAATTGAAATCACATCTTGTCACCAATTGTAATCACATCTTGTCACCAATTGAAATCACATATTGTCACAATTGAAATCACATCTTGTCACCAATTGTAATCACATCTTGTCACCAATTGAAATCACATATTGTCACAATTGAAATCACATCTTGTCACCAAATGAAATCACATATTCTCACAATTGAAATCACATCTTGTCACCAATTGAAATCACATCTTCGTCACCAATTGCAATCGCATCTTGTCACCAATTGAAATCGCATTTTGTTACCAATTGAAATCACATCTTGTCACCAATTGAAATCACATCTTGTCACCAATTGTAATCAAATCTTGTCACCAAATGAAATCACATCTTGTCACCAATTGCAATCGCATCTTGTCACCAATTTAAATCACATCTTGTCACCAATTGAAATCACATCTTGTCACCAATTGAAATCACATATTGTCACAATTGAAATCACATCTTGTCACCAATTGAAATCACATCTTGGTCACCAATGGAAATCACATCTTGTAACCAATTGAAATCGCATTTTGTCACCAATTGAAATCACATCTTGTCATCAATGGCAATCACATCTTGTCACCAATTGAAATCACATCTTGTCACCAATTGCAATCGCATCTTGTCACCAATTGAAATCACATATTGTCACAATTGAAATCACATCTTGTCACCAATTG